CGGGCGACGAGAGCTGCTATGGTATCGTACGTGCACGGACAAGGCGAGTGGTTTTCGGCGCCGCCGGGATGGCGGCCGCTTCGTGGGACGAACGTACCGTCCTAGTACTTTCGGACTTCGCTCCGATGGAACAAAATCCGATTACGCCGGCCACGACAGGACGATTGGCTCGGGACATTACTGCTGCTCGACTGCCCCATAGTGAGCGAGTATATTTTGAGCATCATACTTCTTCAAGACCCGATCATCCCTTCAAGATGAGATTTTCTCACCGACTGGTGAGGAGCGACGTCGACAGGGTTCAACCAAGAAGGACGGCATGGTGGTCCAGGGAATCGTTGACGCCATCAAAAGAGACGGACGCCGGATATGAGGTGTTCTTGCCGACAAGCCAAATGGTCGTTCGGAAGTTTACCGGCATTCAAAAAGTCAATATTTTTTATCTGGTGTAGCACACATATCCGTGTTAAAGGGGCCACGAAATTATTTTTAAACTTCTTCCTTACCTGTAATCCTCAACTCAAAAGAACTGTGAAATCACGCAGTCGTGAAATGCTAGGGCACCGTGCTTTTTAAGCACACCGTAGAACTTGGCATTCGCAAGTGATCATAAGTTTTGTCAGGACACTCATTGGCCAGGAAAGTGAATTCAAATATCCATGGACGAATTGATTGCTGACGAGCGCATACATCCGAGCAACGCAGTTTTCGTTTCCAATGCGTGAGTTGGGGTCGGCTGACGTCATTTTGGCCTTTGTAGGCATTGTAAAGAGGATATTTGGAACCAAGCACACTGACATTAAGGAGAACAAAACGGGCCCAGCTACAGAAAATAAATATTACACTCGTAAGAAATAAATACGTCTGTAACTTGTTAATTACAAAAACGAACACACCTCTCAGCATCTAAGTTTAATGGTATGTGTTGATGCATTGTTATGTAGCAGGACATTTCATATACGTGACGTATATGAAATGTCCTGCTACATAACAATGCATCAACACATACCATTAAACTTAGATGCTCAGAGGTGTGTTCGTTTTTGAGCAAACGCCAGTTTTTCACTTGAAAAACAAACAAAAAAACACTGCGATCAAATGCAAGCTATTGCAACGAAAGCAAGTTATATCAAAATCTTAAGAACTGCCAATTCGTAAAATTGGCGATTAGTAAAAAAAGTTAAAGATCGCAGGAGCTTCCTCGCTAAAAAATGCCGTGATTATTTGGTGACCCAGGGCTGAAACAATTTCCCATAGGCCCTACACGCGCCGTATACCTTTCGTTATGATTCTCAGAAATTAAGACTTTCAAAGGAACATGAAAAATGCGAATATTGTATCTTAAAAGCTATGTACTGGAGCGCAAGTTCGTCTGCTTTTTTTTTGCAGGGGTTGTGGTGACGTCAGAACGCCAAGATCTGAGTGGCTCCGATTGAAGGATAGTGGGTAGACCTAAAAGCAAGCTGCCTTGAGGTCTACCCACTATTCTTTATTCAGAACCAATCAGAGCTCGGCGTTCTGACGTCACCACAACCCCTACTAAAAGAAGCAGACGAACTTGCGCTGCGCATATCGTAAAATTGTTGAATAGTATGCTTGGAAGTTGTGTGAATATTTATACAGCGTGTAGTTGGTCAGCCATTTCAAAGTGCGACGAGTCACTCGCTGTACATGAGCAATTTAGCCAATGCAGTATAACCGCTAGCCTGGGGTCTATAGGTCTTTAACGTGCACCACGCAGTAGTGATACACAACCGCAGGCCGCTACAATGCTCATCCAGATCGAAACGGGCAGGGGTGGGGATTGAACCCAGGTTCCGTGATTGATTAGTACAAAACGTAAACATCGCAGGAGCTTCCTCGCTAAAAGTTTCTGACCATGCGGTTACCTGGGGCAAAAACAAATTCCCCAAGGCCCAACATGTGACGCATAGATTTTTCATCGATTCTTATACACTCCAATGTTCAAATAAAGCTAAGAGAATGCGAAAATTGCATGCTAAATGTCTTATCGATCCTCAACCACATCCGGAAACCCGAGCACCGCTAAGGCGATATTACTGATGCTGTCGCACAGGTGCTAATATCCAGAGCGATCTTGCACAGAAAGGGTATAAAGTATCATTCTTTCAGATCTTCACGTTATACCTACGCCAGAAAGCACGAAGAAGCCCTAAATCGTCGGCAAGCTGCGGCACATCACGACTCCGCGCACCGAACAAACTCACATCCACCAGCTCTGGGCGCTGCCATCTTACCGATGACATCACGGCTCTTGAGAGGTCACGTGACGAGTCGTCACTCGGTTGCTACGGAAACCGAGCCAGCTCAGCTCGTTGCTATGGTACCGCGTGTGACCAGTCGCGGTGAGAGGCGGCACTGGGAAAAGCGTGGCGCTACTCTGGCAGCTACGCTGCCATATCGAGTGGCTCTAATTCTACCTAAAGCCCCTTCATGTTTCAAAAGTAGCGCAAGGTGCGTCGATGCACGTGCAACGTGCCTCGTGCACGTGCTTTGAACGCACGTGCACATGCGTTCAAACGATTATCTTATTTTCTGTTTTGCTTATGTTATTTCACTGATGTGCGCCACTATCTCCGTTTCACCTTATGTTGTACCACAGAGAAGGCTAGAAGCGCGAGCTCATAGCGTTGGGAACTGTTCTTAACGCACGAGAGCTTGTGTGGCCGAGATGTGCCCTAGAGCAAGGAGCTCGCGCTTGTAGCCTTTCCTGCAGTAAATCATAAGGTGGCTTTTTTTTTTCTTAATGCGCTACCGGCTGTTGGTCAGCAAAGCATTTTTCCTTTAGTGTTTAGACTTTATTTATTTGGCTCTGGAGAGCCGCGGCACTGCCGAAAGGCACCAGCTCGTACCATGGAGGCCCGCGGTGCCGCGTCTAGTGAACATGAATGATAATGTCATGAGTATATAGATGCATAATGACGACGACATGGATTCTTGGTATTGGGGAGGATGGCAGTCCGATTCGCAGAAGTACAGATTTCGTGGAGGCGGGTTGGGCGGGTAAGAAGCGAGCCATGGGGATCTTGCACGCCGTTCAATCGGTCTCGGTGCATGAAGGAGCTCCAGGAACATGATGGCGCTGCTGCTCACTGGGGTCCACTGCGGTCGAAGCATCAGGCTCTAAGGAGGTAGCTCAGTCAAAGTAGAAGCTGCCGCCTCCGAGGCACCAGGGCTCAGATTGAGGCACCGCCGTCGCCCGGTGTGTCCTCACAAGGTCGTCGTCGTTGTGTTCTTTATTTATACGCGTATATATGTACAAATAAAATGAAATAGATAAAAAGACACACAATGGAACGGCCAGCAGCGCGCGCACCGGGCTGCCTTCGAAAGAAAAAGCCAGCCTCAAAATCAAGAACCACCATCATCATCATCATTAACCCTCCTTAGCCGAGACCTCTCCGACGATAGATGGCTCTCGCCAAACACAAAACACCTGTCCGCGCCGAGGCTATTGTATTTTCGAGGAGTGAAATGCATTTCTCCTAGTAAAGTATTTGCTTTCTGTTTCAAGTCATCGAAAAACGCAAGCAGTTTACCAGTTTGCCATCTACGTCATAGATTCGGGTGCAAAACTGAAATCATGCTTTAAAATAAACATTTCTGCAGATGTGCATGGAGTTTCAGGCTTAAAATACCCTTAGGGAGATCCAGGGATGGGCAAAATACATGCAAATATGTATCGAAATACAAATACAAAATACTTCGTCAAAAATGGATTTAATTACAAATCTAATTACATTTCCAAAAAAGCATTTAAGTACAAGATACAAATACAACCAAATGTATTTGGTCTCCTTCAAATACTCTTCCAAATACATTCCTCAGAATTTGCGTCAGCGACTTCAGGGCACCTGTTGCGGGTTTCTGGGTATCACATTTTAATTTTGCATCGCACACTCACGGGAGTTAGTGTGCGAGGCTCTAGTAACGTAATAGAAATATAATCACAAAAAAATGTAATCAGCCTGGACGTAATAGGCGAAAAAAGTGCAAAGCTTCAAGCAGCTTTTTTTGTCGATTACATTTTGGTATAGACCAACAAAGAACTGAGACGACCAAGACGCGCAGCACTAGCTAGATAATTTTTTTATTCTTGCAGCTCGCACCAGTTACCGAAATCTGGACGACCCGCGCATTTAGAATGTTCCAGGCAAAAATATGGATGGAAACCAGGCTGGAAAGCATCACAGGTTGTCACAGGCACTTATTTAGCCAGTCTGCCTGTGAACGTCGATTTCGTCACTATTCTTGCCCTGGACTAGCACTGTAATCACAAAGTCACTAAACGCTTGTGCTTGATTGAGAGACACTGCATTTAGTGCAGAACGTAGTTTTCTTCCTGCTTTCGACAGTGACAATAAATTTGAGGGATGTATTTTCGCCCACAAAATTGTATTTCATTACAGTTGTATTTGAAATACCCACATTTTTGTATTTAAATACACACGTCAAATACATTACCCAATTTTTAATTAAATACAAATGCAAAATACACGAAGTATTTGAAATACTGCCCATCCCTGGGGAGATCCCTCAAAACTATTTTTACTCGTTTTCAAGAAAAAAACAAAACAAAATTTGATGCTGGGGTTGTCAGTGGTTCATTCAGTCAAATAAATTTCAGTTAAGTCAAATTAATCGGATTAAGAAAAAAAAATAAGATTGAAATATTATAAATCTGATTCATTTTATATGTAGCTAATCATAATTCTTCTCACCCTTGTAGAACCGTACACCCGGAGTGTGTGAGGTGTTTTTTGAATAAAAATATTGCGCGAATACACCTCTCTGAATCTATAGTATTATTAAGTCATCCTTTTAAGTCGAGTGCTGACGGTGCACTCGAATTCAATCCGTGTCCCTCCTTGGTCTCTTGTAGGTGAGGTGAACAAAATTCAGTAACGGCCTCGCTACCCAGGTGTTGCATGAGCCCCTCTTCCCCGTGGTGAGGAGAGAGAGCCGCTGACTTCGCACAGGTACCGGAAAGAGGACGACGGCTTCGACGAAGAGGAGCTGTCCGAAGCGGGAGCCAGCCCCTGGGAACGCTCGGGACTCCGTGGCCTGTTGGCCAAACGGCTCGGGGTCCAGGACGGACAAGGCGCAGCCGTCCAAGGCCAGAGCAGACCTCCGGCTCTGTCTCCGTCGGTGAGCCGGCAGGTCGCGGAGCAGCTACCTCCGGAGGACCCGCCAGCCCCTGAGCCACCGCCCCACCAGCAAAGCGAGGAACAGCAGCGAGGTATGTGCGACGTGGGAATCGGAGGGTCTCTTGGGACCTTTCTGCATCAGGAAAGTGTCCGCATTTGAATCTAGGGCGAAACAAAAGGTTGCTGTAATCACTTACGGGATTAGAAGGGCAGGGACGTCTTTCAGGTGTCTCACTTCCAGTGTGCGCTTCTTATCTACGATAATTGAAAGTCGGAATTCATCCCTGTCGCACCATGCATCGGCTCCTTCATTCCCAAAACGTTATCCGATAAGAACCGCCTTCCTGCATCTTGAGGGTCTATCATCGGTAGATTCATTTAACATTTCTATAACCTATCAATTTTGTTCATGCTTGACCCTTAATGTTTTTACTCCATTTTTGGACTAGACGCGTTTGTACACGCACTCAGCTGCCACGTAGAGGAAAGGGGTTAGAGCCGGCCAGCTCTGCCCGATTCTTTGTTTTATTATTCTGTACTGATCTGACAATTTCTAGCTTATTTTGTGGCAGTCCTCGTGTGCTCTGGTTTGGAATTTTCCTAGGCTTGCCGCGTGTGTATAAAAGCAGCACTAACGGGCCACTTGGGGACAGTTACCCTTCGATCGCCGACGCGAGACGCTGGCACCTTTCTCTTTAGTTCGCCTCATTACATATTTAATTTTAAGCTCTACACCCGTCTACTATATTCCATCCGTGACAATACCCAATACCCTATAATTCGTGTATGTTTTTTTACTCCTCCGCTATGTAAAGGGCTGTCCAAACAGGGAACTTAAGAAATCCTGAGGCGACACAACTCCGTCATATGTCGTGGAAGTTGGAGTCCGGTAGTTCGATTTCTGTTTGGACACTACCGGGCAAACGTCACGACTTTCTCCCTCCCCTCCTCCACTTTTTCGGTGACGTCGGTGCTCGTCAGACTTGACTTCAGACGCCACCTGCCAATGGTGTGCCTGTTGCATGTCTATCTGTTCCGCCGCGGCTCGCGCGAAGAGCCTTCGCCTCCTCGTTCTCGTGTCCTTCCCTTTCCCGTTTTCGGGCCTTGACCAGCAGCGGAGGCCTTGAGCGATTGATCGACAGCCAACAGGGCGTGTGAGTGGCCGCCCGGACCCGCGTGTGATGAGCGAATCAAGGCCCCCGTAAAAAACGGAGATAAACCGTGACAAAAAAAAAAAAACAACAGCAACAACTACAACAACAAAACATACCCCCCATCAAAAAAAAAAAAAAAAAATGAAGGAAATTGGACGGAGGTGGACCGTGGCACGACATATGACGGAGCTGTATCGACTCACGATTCCTGAACTATCCTGTTTGGACACCTCTTAATGCTTCCGTATCTGGGGAATAAAGAAGTAAACACTGCGGTGTCTCGTGAGCTGCGAGCGTACGCGCGCAGTCGAAACATGGAGAAAGCGAACCTCCAGATGCTGGATGCCGAGCACTCGAGAGAGACTCCCTGTCAGTGACCATAGCCAATACCGCACAGAGGGCAATGCAAAAAATCATGCGCAGGTGTTCTAGGTGGAAGTGCGCCAAGACGGACGCGTCTGCTGCTTTGCCGGTCTGCCTTCGTCGTGTTTGCCGCTAAGGGCGGGTTGGCGATGCACAAACGATGACGTCGTACGCGGACCTTGTCTTCTACGTGGTACCGCTACTGCGGTGAACTGAGTTCTAAGATTATGGATTCGCGTATTTTAATAATATAATTTCTGGACCGAGCTAATTATAATGTAATTTAGCAAGGCCAACTTCATACGAGATCTCCTTTTTTTATGCCTCTCATGTTATTCTTTCCTTTACTTCAAGACGAAAAGACCAGCTAAACTCAAAAACAGAATAAAATAGCATAGCCAACGACAAACTAGGAGAAAAAAAAGTACTGCATAGGTATTTTTGTTTTTATGTAATGTTTGTTCGGAAGTGTGAGTTGCAGAATGTGTTTTTGTGTTTATAAACGTAAGTCTGGATAAATCATGGTAAATTTGAAATGACCGAGATGGTTGAACCAGAAGCGACAGAAGTGGCCTCTTCGAGGACGGTAAAACAGCATAACAGTCATTAAAAAGAAATATAAGGCACTCCTTTGGTCTACCACTCAAAGGTTCCGTTTGCAGAATACATTTGCATTTGCGATGAAAAACGTTGACATAGCTCCTTCGATGGACAAAGCCACGCCGTCAAAGACAATGCGCAAGCCCCTTGCCTTTGGTCGCACCACGGCTGCTCGAGCAGACATGTAGCATAGGAAATCTGTCGTACCATCTCAAGACGGGCTCAGCACGCTTGCTTGCGCTACACGAAAACTCGCTATTTTGGTAAATACCTTGGACGTGCAGCGTCAAGGCCTACGACGCCGTTTGAGGATCACTATCTTTTCCTTTACTATTCTGAGAGCTGGTTGTTGCACGAGCGCCATACGGTCGTAATCGCTCACTGTGTGTAGTCCAGACTTGTACGTAACGCGTTACAAGTAATTGATTACTTGTAATCAATTACAGTTAAGTGTAATTTTGTAACGCTTCAATTACATTTGTCAAGCTGTAACGCTCGGAGTAATTCAATTACTTTTTTTCTGTAATCAATTACAAAATCAATTACACAATTACCAATTACATTTTTCATTCCACAATTTTTTTTCTCACAAAAATCAACATGGTCACTCAGCCATGGAGCAAAAATGATTGACATTTTTTTAACATCTAAAAAAAATAAAACTAGGATTAGTCGGCAAATCCTTTTTTCTTTTGCGCCACGCTCTTCTACATGCGCGCCACCAGCCTTGGCTGGGGAGTTCCGGATCTCGTTGCAGATTGCTGATAAAGTCGACGGGAAGCGGGAACTCGCTATTGACTTTTTAGTGGGCTTTGTTCCTTAGGTCGACGCGTCAGCTACACGACAAGGTCCGGGTCTGAAAACAAAAAAGGGAACAATAACCAAACAAAATTGTGTACGCAATATTTTACTGTGTATTTGTGTATTTCTGTCATCGCAATAAGAAGTAACGTGAAAGTAACTTGAAAAGTAATCAATTACTTTGTAGTAATTGTTCAATTACTTCTGGGAGGCAGTAATCAGTAACGGTAATCGGTTACTTTTTTGACTGTAGTAATTGTAATTGTAATCAGTTACTTTTTTTCAGTAACGTGTACAAGTCTGGTGTAGTCAAAGTTACGGGCACTGCGGTATTTCCCAGGAAGTGAAAGTTCGTGTGCAAAACTTTGTTCTGCGCTCAAAGCTACATTCTGTACGAGCGCCTGTATACTTTTGAACTTTTGATCGCGTACCACAGAAAGTTCTCCTCAATATGTCAAATAACTTTGTGCGCGCGCTCGTTTCTTCAGAGATGGCACCTGATGTAAAATGTGGTGCTGGTAAAGAACGTCTTTAATAATTGTAGTGTCATGTGTCATCTTGACTGTATCATCCTGATTAGGTCACGGACGGTGACGCGATACTATCGAGCCTGCGCGCATGATGGCGTGCGCTCGGCACTTATCAGGCTGTATCGCGAGAGGTAATAAATGCGGTGAGAGAAGCGACGTCAGGGGGTTGTTCCGTTGAACACTGCCTCGCCTGTCTGCCTCCTCCCGTCGTCCTGTGACACGACATGGTGTCAGAAGTGGGATCTTTGAGCGGTTCGACGGCTAGATTTGCCCAAGTGTTGACTAACGGAGCCAGTGTCGACAAAAATAGACTCGGGAGCGAAAGTTTCGGTAGTTCCGCCCAGATTTCCGGGTGTGCCGGCTCGGTTAACGGCTTCCACCATGGTGCTGACTAGTGCAGGAAACCAGAGTCTTCGGTTGAAGGGCAAGCTTGAGGCGGACGTTGTTCAGAAGCACAAAACTATGGGACATACTCTGTGTGTTGTTGAATGAACACAAGCGCTGTTACTAGGGCTTCCAGCCACAGCGGCTCTCGGTGAGGTGAAATATGTTGATGCTCTGGTAGATAAAAGTTTTAAAAACCTGTACCCCCAGCTCTTCTCTGGTCTGGGAACAATGTCTGGCGAATAAACAATTCGGTTGAAGGCCGGCGTGGTACCTTTCGCTACTTTTACTCCCCGCAGAGTTCCCATTCCCCTTAAGGATGCTATTACGGCAGAGCTGGTGAAGCTGGAAGCCAACGAGGTTATCAGGGAGGTAGACGGCCAAGCCGAATGGTGTGTAGGCATCGTGCCTGTACTTAAACCCTCAGGCGAAGTTCGCCTATGCGTAGACCTAACGCAGCCGAACAAAAATGTCTTGCTCGAACAATTTGTTCTGCCAACGTTAGATGATACTATGATGTCAATTGGCGGGAGTCTCCTTTTTCTCAAAACTGGACGCTAATTCGGGTTTCCACCAAGTGAAGTCGGCAGAAGAAAGTCAGCCACTAACAATCTTTATCACTCCGTTCGGCCGCTACATTTTCCGGCTCCTACCGTCCGGAATCAGCTCAGCCCCTTAATATTTTTAGAAACAAATGGTGCAAGTATTAGACCGGCTGCCAGGAGTAGCAAGCATGATGGATGACATAGTAGTTTTTGGAGCCACAAAGGTTGAACAGAATAAAATATTGTGTGCGGTTCTCGAAAGATTGGTTGCAGCCTGGGTTACGCTTAACCAGGCAAAATGTGCATTTGGTATTCGTGAAGTGTCGTTTTTTGGGCTATGTGGTTGATGACACGGGTATTAGACCAGACCCCCAAAAAAGTAGAGGCCATCAAAGGAATGGCTACACCAGTAAACGTCCCAGATATACGCAGGTTTTTGGATATGATCAATTACCTGGCTAAATTCGTGCCAAACCTCGCTGAAGTATCTGCACCGCTGCGCAAATTACTGCGACGGGACAGGGAGTGGTGCTGGGGCTCGGCACAACAACACGCGTTCGATTCCTTAAAGGGACTTGTCTCTTATGCAAAAAGTTCCGCGAAATGTAATCCCGAATTTCCCCTATTGTGTAAGCAGATTCGTCGTCATTGCGGCTCGGCGCTGCTTTAATACAGGTACAGCCAGACGGGAAAAGACGCCTTGTCACGTTTCTTT